AGTCGATAGTATTCGGCGGACCGGCGAAGGAATGGCCGCTCGAAGAGCTCCTCATAGACGGCCCGCGAGTCGACTCCCAATTGGGTTAACATATGACACGACGCGCGTACGACCGACCGGTCTATGGGTTCGCCCGCACGCTCTCTGCCCACCATTTCCAGTAGGCTTTCCGTCAAACGCCGGCTAATGGTGTGGTCGCGGATCACGCGATCGCGAAACAACTTCGCGCCCAACACGCAGACGGTGTCCATAGAGTTCTGGTACACAAACATGCGGTCCATATATACGAGAATACTGGCGATCATAGTCATCGCCGACTGGTACTGATCCCAGACCTCAGTCACCAATTGCGGCCAATTGTCGTCATTCACGGCACTCAACACATCCGCGCGAACCCTATTCACCAGGTGTTGTGTAATCATATCCCGGAGCCCGGCGTACAGGCGTTGGCCGTGTTTGTTGAACACCATAGTGTAGGCCTCGGTGTAGAGCACCTCATACTGCAAGTGAGTCGAGTCCTTGCGGTCGAGTATGTCCTGAATGGCGCGCATTAAGCGGTTCCAGACATTCACTTCAATAAGTTTGGGACACTTTTGACGGACACTATTGAGCGCTGATTGGGTGTACTCTTCGGCGCCGTACTTATCGTAGAGTCTAATCGTTCGCAGCGCCGGCAGTCCCGACAGCGACTGCAATACACTGTCCGTCACTGTAACGGACTTAATGTCTATGAACTGAAGTCTGGGAAACTTGGCGTCGATTCCGGCGAACAGTGGATCCCTTTGAGGGTTACCGCAAGAGATCGTCAAATGTGTCACTCGTTTACAGCGATCCAGCGATGAGTCGATGATCGCCGACTTCGACGGCACCCAACCCTTGATCTCCAGACGCGTTATGTGCCGAAAGTCTTCGTTAATTGTTTGCAGCAAATGACGACTACTATCGACGGACACGTTGTTCACGTCCAGCGACAGTCTCTTGAGTTGACGGCAATGACTACCGATTTGTTTCAATTGATACACAATTAAGTCAGCGATCGTGTAATCAGCGAAATACGTCTGAATGTGTAAATCAATTAATGCCGGCATTTGCGACAAACCGGTCATCAGTACAGCGATTGCCGTCTCATCACAACTCCTATCGATAATGACTTCAATCGCTTTCAAACTCTTTCCGTAGTTTCGCACAAATATTAGGAAACAATTGATGTCTTGTTTGGTGTAAACGATGAATACTTTACGCAATCTATTGAACACAACGGGACTCTCGATACCATTGAATAGCGATAAACGCATTGAATTGTCGTTATTATAGTTATTGTGTTGAAAATGACTGTAAATATGGATTAGATTTGTGCATAACTTGAGGTTAGTCTCGACGCACGTCTTGAAAGTGTTGTTCAGAGACATGAAGTATATGTGAATTGATTTCAATTGTTTGGCAAACTTTGCGAAAAACTTGTTAATCGTTTGAACACTCAGTTCATTGGTATTGATATCCATCGGAAACACGATATAAATGGCATTCAAATGAACGCAATGTTTGACAATCGACTCAAACATACAGTCATTTAATCGCAACTTATTTCCCGTCAACTCAAGTCTTGCGATATTTTCGCACTTTCTTACCATTAGTTCAAAGCGTTTGTCATTTAGTTTGTGATTAACCGTAAAGTTGTCATCAATTGTGAGATCCGTTTGCGAGGCGTATACCACTCTCTGGAACTGTTTGGACACACATTCACACCTGAATTTGTGGTCAATCGACAGATAACTCAATAAGTGTTGACACAAGTCGTCGCCGAAGCGGTCGATACTGTCTTTGGGATAGTCGTTGCCGAAGACGTGACACCCGTTTGTGTCACCACTTCTTGCGGCCATTCCTCTCCTCTTATGAGACAATACGTGGCGATCAAGTGATGGCTATTTGGGACCAAATGTAAGCAATGAATGAGTGATTCATTGATTGAATGTATGTTTCAATGAGTGATACCTTTGCTGTCAATGAGTGCACCGCGAGTCCAGACATATAAACAAACTTTTGATTGCAATAAATGAGTGAATTTAACGAAACAAATAAAATCTGTATTCAAATCATATGTATAATGAGAGATAAAATTGCAATAAAATCACTAATTATTAAAATGTAGCATAAAATCAAATTTAATTCACAATATATTTGTCAATCAAAACATTGAAAACATTTCTCGCATTGAATGCTATAATTCGTGGCAAAACGTGTTAACAGTTTATGCACTGAAAGCCTGTTTTGAAGGCATAGTTACACCCATTTGTCGCAAGCATTCACCCATACATTCAAATCAATGAAAAGTATTTCTATAAAAGCGCACAAATTTTGAATTTTATTCAAACTATTGTATCGTTTAGTGTTTGGTTTCAATACAATAACTTATTTTAATAATCAGTGAAAAGTATTGTATTCAGTGTTTAGTGTTTATAATTTTGTATTAAAACATATTAAACGAAATGTAGGGTGAGATGAGGAAAGCCGTGTTTGTGGGCGACTGTCGCTCACAACTGTCCAAATGTCGGAGCGATTTGATGGGCGAAAGGGTGGGGAGTGTTATGTTATGCTTAGCACTGGACTCTCGACCCGATTCGGGCCCCAAGAGCTCAAGTGCTCAACAAATGGCGACAATATATTCGATGCAATAGTACTGTCAAATGGGTCAACAATTCAAATCATTTATGAATTGTCGTCGAAACACATTTAGAAGGTTATTGAATACAGTAATCGTAAGAATACAGTGTTTTGTAATCAAGTGATTTCGATAATAGTATCCGGTTTATGTTGGCGTAAATCATTTAATGCGTGTCGTGTGAACCAGTACGTGCTATTTTCGAGCTTGATGAATCGCACTTTTGGGAGTCTCGCCAATGACCGCAACACATCATCCGTTGCGACAATATAATTGACACTTAATGAGACAATACTCGGGAACACTTTGTCCACATTGGCGACCATGTGGTCGATCTCGTGGTCGTAGAACTTGAGCGGATCAATATTCAATGAATTTAGCCTTAAATGTGTGATACGTTTGCATGGATTCACGCCTTCATTGGGAAGCCCTTCGTTGAAATTGCTGACGATTTCGAGTCGTTTTAATCGTTTGAAGCTATCGTTGAGTACTGCAATCAACTCGTCGTACGGGCTGTTGCTTAGAAGACGTATTTTGAGGGCAAGTCTCCGGATTTGGGGACAATTCACACCGATTTGTCTCAAGTGGTCGTTCACTACATCCGTGTATTCATAGACCGGGTGATCAATGTTGAGATCAATTAATGCCCGCATTTGCGACAAACCAGTCATTACGGCGGCGATAGACTTGTCGTCGTCATCGTAGTCAACGATCTTTACGTGAATTGATTTCAAGCTATGCTTATATGTGTCCACAAACTGGACAAATGTGTTGTGATATTCATTCCTATAATACACGCGTAAAGTGTGTAACCTATGAAACAAAACCTCATTTCTATCGTCACTTAACACGTGAGACAACTGATTGCCTTCATATCCGAGATACAGTTCCCGTAGATTTTGACAACACTTCATATTATTAAGTATATAACCCTCGACAGCGCCCTGACATGGCGTCCACTCAAGTGATTGCAATCGTTTGGCAAAATTCGCGAAAAACTCGTTAATCGTCTCATTAGTGGTGTTTCTCTCGACCGACATATAAATGCCATTCAAATGATTGCAGTGTTTAGTGATTAACGATAACATACGGACACTCATAGCGTATCTGCAGTATATGAACGCAATGTTTGGGCACTTCTTCAGCAGTAATTCAAATGCCTGTAAATGGCTTTCAGTGTCCACAGGCTTCCGCTTATTAACCTCAGAGGTCTTAAGGTCAGTGACTGTCGTGTATATCAATCGTTGCCACTGTTTGGACACACATTCATATCTGAATCGGTCCTTAATTGACAGGTAACTCAACAGGACTTCACACAAATCATCGCCGAATCGGTCCAAAGAGACTTTCTGTGCATTCATTGTATGACTACTTCTTGCGGTCATTCCTCTCACCACTTATGAGACAATACTTTGCTATCAATGGCTGACTGTATGGACACCAAAACAACTGAACATTTAATGTGAAAACAATTAATATTTTTCATGCATTAGTGAACCCACGAGTGAATCACTTACTGTTCAATAGTGCGGTATAACCAGTGCTACCGGTGCTCGCAATGGTGTCCATAAATTGAGTGAACAATTGTTATGAACGCAATGAGTTGATGTTATATATGAATATACAGTCGATACTATTATCCAGGTGATCTAATCACTGTGTTAATCGTGAATCAAACGCATACAGTAACTGTAAACTCGCGATACAATGAACAGCTGTTTAGCACTTCGTGTGACAGACAGTGAACGCAATGTAAACACAGCGCGAGTGCCATCTCTGCGAGTAATTGTGATGATAACAAATGCGCAAAAATTTCAATTGTAATATTAATAGTTTTTAAATTTATTGAATTAATTTTACTTAAGTTTGACAATTAATAATTACATTGTAATGATTAAAACTATTATTTTGCGCAATATGCTGTAAAACTTTATTGTCAAACACAAAATTTACAATCAGATTGTTATTAACAATTCATAAAATTAAACAATAATTAATTAAATATAACAGTTTGGCAATCGTTACATAAAATTAATGTTAAATCACAACAAATAAGTTTAAATAATTTAATAACACATCATAAAAAACTAACCAGGTAAACTATAAAATGCTCAGCACACAATATACTGGATTAGTAATGCAATTACCGGTATATTCACTCAACACTAACATTATTAATGAGATTACAATTGAATTCATTAGTCATTAATGAAAACATCGATAATTTTGGGACACTTTATAAACAGATTATTAACCGCCGTTTGCGTGAATAACTCAATGCCTTTGAGTTTAATGTATCGTATTTTTGGCAATTTTGACAATGAATTCAACGCACTGTTCGTTATTTTGAGGCCTTTTAGGTGCAAATATTCGAGTTTTGGGAATATTTTGCTCGCATTTAATACGAAACAGTCGTCGAGTGACCGGTACTCGCAGTCCAGCGTTAAATGCGTTAATCGTTTGCATCGATCGAGAGATTCAGAGATAAACACAAAGTTTTTGACGGACTCTGCGCTCATATACCGTTTAACTCGCAATCGCTTTAAACCCTTAAAGTGTTTATTAACTGTTTGTATGATTTGACCGAAAGTCTCGTCGCTATCGGTAAACACATGCAGTAATAGACTCTTGAGTTTCGCGCAATTCATACCGATTTGTCTCAACTGATTGGGCAGTGATTGTATGGACACTAAACACAAGCAATTAATGTGTAAATCAATCAAAGCCTGCATTCGCGACAAACCAGACATCAGTACATCAATGGCCTCCTCATCGCAACTCTTATCCACAAACACTTCAAATGATTGCAAACTATTTCTATAGCTATTGACAAACGTCTTAAAGCACGGCATGTCTTGATGGGTGTACTCGAAGTTAATTGACTGCAAGCGGGGGAACGGGAGCTCATCATTGGCACCCACTATCATCTGAAACCCCTTTTGGTTACCATTGCGCTCGTAATACGTCCAGAATTCCGTCAAATTGTGACAATTCTTGAGATTCCGCTCAACAGACTCGACAATAGCGCGACTTCGGCCGCAATTCATGACCACAACTGACGTCAACTGATTGGCAAACCTCGCGAACAGGCCATCGATGGCGCGGACACTGATGTCATCCAAATCGCACTCAATATAGATGTCATTCAAGCGATGGCAGTGTCTTGTAATCGAGTCCACCATCGCGTCGGTCATCCGAAAGCCAGGCCTCGAGAAGTCTAGTGTCGACACGTTTGTCAACTTTTTGACCATCGATTTAAACGATTGCGAGTTTATGTCAATAGAGACGTCGAAGTCGTCATCGATGGTGAGCTCAGTGCGCGACCTAAACATCGATCGGCGCCACTGTTTGGACACCGGTTCCAGTCGTAGGCAGTCGTCGAGCGACAGGTAAGACAATAAGAGTTCACACAAATCGTCGCCAAAGTCTTGTCTGTCGAGCGAGTCTTTGCCGAAGACTTGCCACTCGTTTGTGTCACCACTTCTTGAGGCCATTGCTAACCTCTTATGAGACAATACTTTGCTATCAATTGATGACACAATTTATGGCATGAATTGAGTGTTGAATACTTCGTACGACTCATACATACCATCCTTTCAGACCACACCACCGAAGACTATCTCATATTCACTATATGTGTCTCTTTTGGTCACTTTTGAGACCAATTCTTGACGTGAAATCTTCGACATTGTTTACAAACAGACAGTGAATGTGCGGACAAACAGTGCATAAGTGGCGCCCCTTTCGCACCACTCATACACTGCATGCGTTCGTCGGTTCGCGTCCCCAACGGACTGCCAATACTTTTTTGTGTAAAACATTTTAAACTTTTAACTTTTTTTAAAACTTTGATTACAATTTATTATGTATTGAATACATTATCATGTTGTATACACTGATATTACAGTTATTGCGTTTATTGTATAAAAATTTAAGGCTTAAATCATATTTATTAATCAAAATGTTAATGAAAATAAAAATGATAAAAAATAATCAAAATGTTATAATCAAAATCATATTTGTTTCATAAAGGTTCAAATGTAGCATTACCTTGGTATGTCTTAAATTAACACAAGAGATCTGAGATGATGGCAGTGTTTGACAATTGATACAAACTTTGGTGCGTTGAATGGCTTTGACTGTAGGCCTAACTCGTAGTGAATTCGTGTAATGTTTCTACACTTTCTCACAATTATGTCAAACGACTGGTCGGTAATTAATGCCTTGAATTTGCAGTTATAGTCCACAATGAGATCCCTTTGCGTGTTATAAATCAAACGCTGCCACTGTTTGGACACACATTCACGTCTGAATCGGTCCTCAAATGATATGTAACTCAATAAGAGTTGACACAAATCATCACCGAATCGGTCGAAAGAGTCTTTCGTATAGACAGTGGTATCACAGGTGGAGGACATGTCTTCACAGGAGTTCATATCGTCATCTGTGACCACATCGACAGCCATAACCTCTTTTGTCTTAAGATAATCGTTGAAACAATTGAGGATCGCTTCCACACCATTAGGCACTCGACCCAACACTTGGTACATACGGATCAAGTCCTCACTCCTGCGATCCCTAACCAACGCAACCACTCCTGAGTTATCCATTTCGACGATTGTCTTCACATGTCTTGCGATCAACTCTTCATTAATGAGCGAAACGATCGCCGATTCAGTGGATGCGTCCAAACACTGCACCACTCGATTCGACTCTTCGCGGATCACTTCCTCGACTCTCTTCACGTAAACGGAAGCGTCGTTTTGCGCCAAAAGAGAGCGACTCTCGAGTCGATAGTATTCGGCGGACCGGCGAAGGAATGGCCGCTAATTTTATTCCTTCAAAAACTAATAATAAACAGAATATTCTTTGTATGAAATGATTACCCGTTTAGCCCTCCGGGGGCCTAACGCGTGTAGGAATTCATACACAGGATTCCAACTGAAACTCCTTTTAGCGACTTCTTGGTGGGTGTTATCATTGGTTACCACCGATGACGGTATCACTTCATGACAGGTGTTTGTGTCGGCATTTGTTACGCTGATTGCTATTGTGAGCACTAGTAGTGAAATAAACTTAAACATCATTTTTAATACTATTGTTTGGTTTTTGGTGTAATAAAGTAACAAAAAAAGTTTTAAATCACTAAATAGTAAACAAGTTTTTAGTTTTTTAAAACACAATTGGGTTCACAAATCGGTGTTGAAATGGTTGTCGTTTAGGGAAATTGATTTCATTTTTCAATTTCATAGTCAGATTCAATCGTACGATGCGTTCAGTATTAGTATTAGTATTAACTGTTGAGATAACACATGAAAATCAATGACTTTTCGATGACTTCAACCGCAGGTCTTATGGAATTGAATGGGAATTCAGTGTTTGTGTTATCAGTTTACAGCGCTTTTCAATGACTGATCACTTGTTTAGTGTCAACACTTCACTGATAATGTCGACTAAATAGTTAACAAACAAATATTTAATTTATTTAACAGATTAGTGATTTTAAATCACTGATTTGTATAAACAAATGATAAGTTTGTATTTTGATGCAAAATTATAACGATCTAGTTGCTATAAAACGCACAATAAGACAAAAACTTTTTTAGCAATTACTATAATCGCTATCATTTACACTGTAATACAGTGACTATGCTATCGATGATAAATAATTGTATTTAATATCGGATTTTGTTTAAACAACTATTTAAACAAACAGTCGATTAGTAGCCATGTGAGTAAATTTGTATACAATTATTACTTTACTCATATGAAATATTTTCAGATTTTATTTCATGTGCAAATAATTACAATTGTTTTTTGGCTAAATTATAAACTTCAAACTAATATTAAGCGTACGTTATACAAATGTTTTTTACAATTAGTGTACTTGCTAATTGTTTTTGAAACTTATTTTATATTCTTAGTGTTATTGTGGCGGGTTTAGTAATATCCGGGTCAATACCCACCCCCAGTGGCTGTCCAGGGCTATATCAACGTCTATATCAACCTCCGGATACAGTAGTATGTCATGAATAGGAGTAGACATTGGTTCGTAATCTGAGTGGAGTTTGTTATAATTGAAGCAAGAGCATTTAACTTTAAATTAATGATATTTTTCATCCGATAATAGTCCCATATTTCATAACAGCGAATAAATTTAATAAAACTTGTACATAAATCCGAATTTGGCCCTGGGTCCCTTATTAACATTATATCGCGCAGAACATTATACTGCAGTACTTTGCATGTACACTAAATTGCAGTATGGTACACTAATTGTAAAAGCCGTATGAATATACGGTACGGTACACCCGCTGAGCCCTAGCCAAACCCCTCCCGAGCCCTAATATAATTGTAAAAGTATCATTTTTATACACCGTAAGTTACGGTCCGTAACACATATTTGCTATTTATTTGCCCCTAAAGTTTTAAATGTCATGTTATATGTGAGGATTATGTAATAGATGTTAATACAGTAGTCGTATACCAAACGTGTTGTTATAAAGGGTTATCAACTAGCACGTGTGAAATTGTAATTTGATTATAATGATTTAATAAGTTTAATAAAATCTTAATAATTATTAAATCCCGCCATTTGCTAAAAGTAGCCGCAAAATAACCATGGCCCATCAAATGAAAATCAGAGCTTTCCCCGTGAGTAACAAACTTGATGTAATAATAGCCGTAAACCCCATAGACATTAACATTATACCAATACTACTGTTGTATGTCTCATGTAGACATCTATGGATGACAAGTATGTTCAGTCATTATTGGCAGTAGTGATGGCCGCTATTGAAAGCACCATGATCAAACAATTTACTGGTTCGTGCGAGGAAGTATATAGGTCGGCCTATTCCCTGGTCCTACATAATCGTGGAGAATTGCTATACAACGAGTTGCGAGATGCCCTCACTCGACACGTGGTTAATAGGGTTAGCCGTAAAGTGGCCACCGTTTCGGACAATGATTTGGTGGCCACAGTCACTCAACTATGGGCTGACTATGATATCTCGGTGCTAATGGTGAGAGACATGCTAATGTACATGGAGAGGGTATATATAACACAAAATAATGTGCCCGGTGTACGCACTCTGGGGGCCAACCTATTTCGCGATCACGTCATCCCTAACGACACCATTGCCCGCCGTTTGACGGAAAGCCTACTGGAAATGGTGGGCAGAGAGCGTGCGGGCGAACCCATAGACCGGTCGGTCGTACGCGCGTCGTGTCATATGTTAACCCAATTGGGAGTCGACTCGCGGGCCGTCTATGAGGAGCTCTTCGAGCGGCCATTCCTTCGCCGGTCCGCCGAATACTATCGACTCGAGAGTCGCTCTCTTTTGGCGCAAAACGACGCTTCCGTTTACGTGAAGAGAGTCGAGGAAGTGATCCGCGAAGAGTCG